CAGCGCGGGAAGGAGCGTGGTGAGAACGAGGTGGAATCCACCAGCAGTTTCAACGACGACATGCCGGTGGAAAAGATCCTGGATGCTGAGCTGGCTGTGGAGCCCAAAACAGAGACGTACAGCGATGGCAGCCCCGGAAACTCTGTAAGGATCTAAGTTACACAGATAGATGCCTTTTGTTATGAGACTAATTAATACAAAGCTCCTATTTCCATAATATGTGCTGTATCCATCTAATGGGATCAATAAACTGGGGAGGAAGCGACATATATTACAGATTATGAAGCTAAACGTAAAGAACCCGACCAGTCCAAGTTTAAATGAGTTTAGAAGAGAATCTATAAACACTGATAAAGGATTGCTTGATGTGTTAATCAAAGGTTAGCCAGGTTAAGCAGCTTGAGAGACTAAATCCAATTTACACTTGCGGATGTTATAATCTTTACTCTGAAGTCCGATTCAAATATCTTACGGGAAATTGAGTCAAATACATTGATGCTTTGGAGGATATCGCTTCCCATTTTGCACTCTTAGAGAAAATTTTGTTGACGAGTCTTTGCAAAATAACTCAAACTCTGTCACACTGAATGAAGACACTCTTTATAGCTCTAGCTGCATATCGATGGCTTTTTCCCTGTTGGAAGGTGAATCTGGTTTGAAAAGCTTGGAATATGGGATTATAACCCAAACCTGTTTAAAACTTCTCCACAACTTTTTCCTTGACCCGTCTGCCCTGTGTACATCTTCTGAACTACTTTTTCTTTTCCTTGCATTTTCTAAATAGGTGCTGATTGTGTTTAACCATCACATAAACTGTTGCAGATCCTAGTTGAACATGACAAAATGTAAAAAATAAAAATTAAAAAATTAAAAGTGAATATACTTTTACAAGGCGCTGTTTTATTAAAAATTATTGTGGAAAGTTTCTTTTCAAATTAAATACTATTTCAAGAGTCTGGAGTCATGAAAGGAAACTTCTGGTTTTGCAAAGTAGCTAAACATAGCTAAAGCCGCACCTGCTCAGTGGCTGTGGTCATTGTGACTTTATGCACACTGCAGGAGTTCACAAGCTCAGGCATTAACTGCATTGTGTGGGCTTCCTTCCTCCATGTTTCTCTCCAGACCAACGACCCCGTCACTAATATCTGTCAGGCTGCAGACAAGCAGCTCTTCACCTTGGTGGAGTGGGCCAAAAGGATCCCGCACTTCTCCGAGCTCCCTCTGGACGACCAGGTCATCCTGCTTCGGGCAGGTACGCACGCTTATTCAGCCTCAGCTGCACAGAAAAATAAACACATGAAACCAGTGAAAAACATTTTTAAAAAGACATGCACACATACACACTCGACACATTTTTGACACCTGGTTTTGTAGAGCAGTGAAACTAAATATAACTGGAATATTTGCCAGGTCCCACTAAAGCAGTTTGCAGCATCAGCTACACTGACCCCTAATGGTGGGAGAGCTTGCACACGTGCCATGATTAAAGGGAATCACAGAAAAGAAATAAGACAAAAGCAACCAATCTTTCTAAAAATGTAATGCATAATATGATCAATATGTCTTTATTTATTTTTATGTTTTTTGTCCAGGCTGGAATGAACTGCTCATTGCCTCTTTCTCGCATCGCTCAGTCACGGTTAAAGATGGCATCCTGTTGGCAACAGGTCTACACGTGCACAGAAATAGCGCCCACAGTGCAGGAGTGGGATCCATCTTCGACAGGTAAGAGACTCTCAGAAAGTACTTCAGAAATAAGGATAAATTATTTTGCGCTAAAAAGTCCAAAATGTTCTAAAGACTTTAGAAAATCATTTGAAATTTCAATCTGGAAAATTTAAAATGTTTATATCAAAAATGGAAACTCCAAAGAGTCTCACAGGAATGGCCTAAGGCTATTCAGATAAAATTTACGTTGTGTGTTTTTATGGAACACTTGTTTTAAAAGGCCTTTCTGTCCTGATAACATAAAAATCTTTGACTGCAGAGTCCTCACAGAGTTGGTATCCAAAATGAAAGACATGCAGATGGATAAGACAGAGCTGGGCTGCCTGCGAGCCATCGTTCTATTCAACCCAGGTCAGTGTGGACCGCTCTCGAATACAGTGGCATTTTGCACCTTTGCAGTATTACGCTGGGCATATACATATGTTGGATTGTGTGTTTTAGATGCAAAAGGTTTGTCAAACCCAGCAGAGGTGGAGGCGCTAAGAGAAAAAGTCTATGCTTCATTGGAGTCGTATACAAAACAGAAGTACCCCGACCAACCTGGCAGGTGGGAAATATTACACTCTCACCATTGTTGGAAGGTTGCAGTTATTGCACCTTGCATATTATAATCAGAAGACATGAAATCTTTTAGCCAATTAAATAGTATGACATCAGGAGGATGGCATACCCACTTTCCAGTTGGTGGTTTTATGTTACATTATAACTGCATTTAACTGTAATGTAAGGATTTTTTCCTCATTACTCCTCAGGTGACGACTTGAGATCATTTTTTTAACTAGATTTTTTCATTTTATTTTTTTTAATTATTTGCAGGTTCGCCAAACTGCTCCTGCGCCTGCCAGCTCTGCGCTCCATCGGTCTCAAGTGTTTGGAGCATCTGTTCTTCTTTAAACTAATCGGGGACACGCCCATTGACACTTTCCTGATGGAGATGCTGGAGGCTCCACATCAGATCACATGACACCAGTCCTCCGCTCCCCTTCCCTGTAAATACCCTCACCTTATGAGCGATGTGAAGATGGACGGAAAAAATAAGAGACTTGATCGAAACTGTTAAACCGTTTTCTACCAAGTAAAGCAATGTGATTAAAATAACAGTGATATTTTCCAGTTGTTTGGATGAGTATCCTATATGCACACAAATTATGATAGATTTGGTAACAGATTTTGTAAATAGATGATTTGTTGTATTTGTTTTAAAAGCATCCCAATGCAAATTACAGAGGAATAATTTTATTCTAAGAGAGAAAGAAAAACAAACAAACAAACAATAAAAAAAAAACATTTCATAAAAGAACACGTTTAAAGCTTCTTACAGAATAAAGTTATTTAAAATGTGAGTAAAATGTGTTGTTTCTGTAGTTTTTTCCCTCAGATTCTTGAATGAAAAGTGAAAACCTGAATCTGGTTACACCTCTACGATTCCAGGTTTTGTCCACGAGAGGGCGCCAATAAAGTGCCTCACAGTATTTGGGACGTGCGTGTGGATCTTTTTCCAGCTAAGTGGTTCAGCTGCAGGACTTCAAAGGACAGTTAGAGACAGTGTTTCATCATCACTGTTTTTGTTGGCATTCTGTCTTTCAGTAATTTTGAATGGCAAATTTAAATAAATTGATTTAAGCAATACCCACGCTTTTTTACATAAAACACTGGAAGATTATGATGCTTATTATCAAGAGTTCCAAAAAGTGCAACACAATTCACTCTTACTCCAATGGCTGCATTGAATCATGCATAGCTCGTTCAGTCCCCTCCAATGGCCTATTGGAACATTTTCTCAGCTCATTGAGTCCAGTCTTGTCAAAACAATCGATTAGTGTTACTTTGCAACGCTAATCGATGTGTGGCAGATCTCCCATTATCTGCCACACACCTACAGATGTAGACAGATTTATTGCCACCCCAAGTGGAACTGTGTAAATATACTTCATCTCACATTGAAAATTTTAAACTTTGTTGAGTAGAAATAATAGATTTTCTAGTCATAAACATTTGTTTATGACCCATACAATGCATTTTAGAGTGCACACATATGCTTTAAAATACATATATCTGAGCTATTTTCTGTACTTTACGTTTTACATTACAGTTTCTAGGAACCCTTATTTGTCACCGAGAATGAATGGGACCACAATTATTCTCACCATCAATAACAGGGCGGAGAATTGTGAAGGAGCCACAACCATGTCCAGTATTTATAGTTAAAGCATGGCCCCAGTTCTCTTCAATCTCCTTTAGACTATCTGAGTGCAAAATTGATTTTTGGAAGTAATATTAGAAAATAAACATTTTCTCTTCTACTGTCACAAAAGTAAATATAGAGTTTGCTGAATTTTTTGGGACCATAAAAATAAAGGAAACCTATTGAATGACAAGGTTGTGTCCAAACTAAGGAGCTATTTGCGTTTTTGCACCTTCAACAACTTGCATTTCATTTATTGTCATTTTCAACACTGGTTTCCCCCTCAGTTTAATATCATGGCTTGTGATTTCAGCTTATGAAAGCACAACTAAACATGAAAATAATAGTTTCTTTTATTGACAAACTCGAATGACAAAATGTTGCATTACATAAAAATAAGAATAACGGTAATAAACAAACTAGTTAATCAAAATTTCATTACGTTTATGATAATTCATACATTACTATCTATCTATCTATCTATCTATCTATCTATCTATCTATCTATCTATCTATCTATCTATCTATCTATCTATCTATCTATCTATCTATCTATCTATCTATCTATCTATCTATCTATCTATCTATCTATCTATCTATCTATCTATCTATCTATCTATCTATCTATCTATCTATCTATCTATCTATCTATCTATCTATCTATCTATCTATCTATATCTATCTATCCAATGAGTAACAAAAAAGAGAGTGCTGCTGCCTCAGAGGAATTCAGAGTGGAGAAAGTAGTGAACTGCAGGGGGAGAGAAAAGGACCGAAGGAGGAGGGGGAGACTTGGAAAGAGGTAAACTGCACCTGCACATGGATGAAGTATCCACAGCTCTCTGTTTCTTTCTTTCCTGTTCTCCGATAATAGGATAATTGATAGAGCAGCGCAGGCTTTTTACTGGATGGGAGTGGACGCTTGCAGAGGTCTCTGAGTGGAAGCCCTAAGGACAAACTTTTGATGCGCGGCTCTGCTCTCAGCAGCAAGCCGCAGCGGAGGGATCCTGAGCGCCGGAGATGCTTTGACAAGACCTGGGACTTTGTGAACCAAAGTATTTTTTAATTATTTTTATTTTCTCTTTTCCTTGAAGAGAAATTCGCACATCACAGGTGACGTGTGTCATTATAATACTGCTGTAAGTTCTACCTCAGAGCATGAGTGGCAAAAAGTTTATTAGAAGTGCTTTATGTCTGTTAAATGAAAGAAAGAAATTAAAAATAAATAGAGTTTCTGCCATTGGCCTAGAAAACGGTTCTGATAATATTTCTTTATTTTATCGCAGTATTTCAAAAAAATATTTCTTTTCAAGGCCTTTATGGTAAGTATTGAAATTAGACGACAAGTATGAAATAAAATAAACGCAATCCTGCCAATTGAATTCAAACATTGTATCCAAGTCATGATCGGTGCATCAATTTGAGTTATTATTATTTTTCTTCCTTTTTCACAGATTCTGGTTGAAAACCCGCTCATCAAAGGATCTCCCCCTCTGAACCCTGCAGGCATGGATCAGAAGGCAGCAGTGTGCGCCGGATGCCACCGGCCGATCAGAGACAGGTTTCTCCTCAGAGTCAGCGACGGCCTCTGGCACGAGGAGTGCGTGCGGTGCGCGGCGTGCGGGGACCCGCTCAGGAATTCCTGCTTTCTGCGGGACCGCAAACTTTTCTGCAGGCGGGACTATGCTCAGTGAGTGCAGGAACTTTATGACGTTTTCTTAGATATCCGTGCAAAAACCAAAACCTCATTCTGACATAATCTTCAGTCGTCTAGTGTTTTTTACTCCTTCCATTCTGCTTCAAATGAAATAAATTACCTACTATATAACTCATTATACAGGGATGATTACTCAGTTTAAATACATTTCTTTTTCCACATCAGCTTTCTGGGCGTCCAGAAAAATTCATCAGTCTTCACAATGCAGAAAACAGTGTCAAAGGTATTCTCAACTCCATGGACTTCCTCCTGTTTTTGTTTCAGAAAATAGTTTTGATTGGAATTTTATTTCATAGATCATCACAAAAGTTGTGGGTATTTCTGTCATTGTTCTTTGCAAACCAGCTCACCCGGTGCCATTTTTAATTTCTTTAAACATTAGTCTCTAAGCCTTTTTGTCGATTTCGGTCCAAACTTAGACCTTAGAATTGAGCCATTCTATTATACTTTGACTAAAACGAGGCCATTGTTGCTCTGACTTCATGTTTAACTTCGCTGTTCTGGTATGTCAAACTACACCTCGAGTCTTGCGCTGTTTTTGTCCCTCCATCTTCACTTCTGAGATATTTCCCTTCTGTTGACGAAGAAAAAACATCCCAAGGGCCTGATGCTGCCACCACCATTGATCACTGTAGGGATGTGGAATGCTGTCCAGTCTTGATCTGATTTAACCAGATCAAGACTGGACAGTCTTGATCTGTGTAACCATGTTTTACACTTTTACTGTGTCCCCTGTCTAGCAACCTCAAAGGGTTTGAATATTTGACAGGAAACCGTGTATAATATTTCATAGCAAAATAAAATATCTGTGAGTTGCAGCAAGTTCGCAAGTGAAATGTTTTCTTTTGGTGCCCATTTACGTGCTCATTATCCCATTATTAGTCCGACTTTCACAAAAGAATCCTTGTCTACATCTTGACCTTGATGAAGAATGCATGTGTTGGTGTGTGTTTGCTTGTGTAACAGTACAAAACAGAGGCTAAAAACTCAGTGAAATAGTTTCCATTTTTGCAGAGTAATCAAACCTCCGTGGTTGAGTTTGCAAAGGTTTTAACTTTGCATCATGACTTTAAAGAAAGTTGGCTTGGCGAGCTGAGAGCGCAAGGTGACTGCAGAGTGGGTGGATGGGTGGGTGGAGAAGGGATGTAAGGAAACTATTGTTTATTGTACATCACGATCACAGACAACACATGCACAATAACACCATTGCACCTTCGCGCACAACCAGGGGTATAGCTCAGCTGACACATTGTCAAAATGTGTTAAGATGTTGGGGGCCATTGGTGTGGCAACTGCAAGCGGGGGACAGCATATGGTCCCTTCCCCACCTCTCATACCTCCCTAGAAAAAATTATAGTACTCTCTCCCATTTACTTGTCGTCACAGTCTTCCTTAAAGCTGCTCATATCTAAACAAGAGGAAATACACCCACCGAAAAGGCATTAGCCCATATTATTTTGCTCTACTTTATCAGAGGTTCTTCCAACAAATGTAGTCCGGACAAATATATGCGATTACAACAAAATGTATATGTAAAAAAAGAACAATTTCCTGTAGGTTCAACACTGCTAGAATAAAATCTATATTTTAGATGTAATTCTGGTTGAAATTCCAAATAGTTCCACGTGGTGAGTGAATATAACAGTTCAGAACCAAAGAGCAGTGCAAAGAGGTAATTAGCAGAGCAGAGCCATATGTCAGAAGGTCTGGTGCATCCCTTACAGAGAGACGGTGAGGATGGTGTGAACTTATTTTGGGGGACAGTGCGCTCCAGGAGCCCTGGCGATATGCGCAGCGGCATCTGGAAATCTCTTCCTGCAGCAGCCCCTGTGTTGAGCAATGGGACAAAGTCCAGTCAACCGTGAGATATCTGAGCTGATCAATTAGCAGGAGGCCTGGTGCCAAGGCTCCACCTCTGATACCCCCTCCCCCACCGACCCTCACCACACCCCCAGCCTCCTGTCTGGGTGACACACATGGGCACCGCTTTTGTCCTCGTTGAGTGTTTTAAAATGTGTGCCAGAATCAGCTCACCAGACAAACGGTGCCCCTTTTTTAGATGCGGTGTAAGTGTGATTTTTTCATACTGAGACAACATTTGTCTCTAACCACATGCTGGATCTTCTGTCTGGATCCGGCATGTTTTCTTCTGTGCAGCCAGAGTGTGTTAGGAGTGTGAACGTAGTTATAAGACAATGATAGTGTTTTCTGCAGTTGAAGTTCTTGTTCAGTCTGAAAACACGGAAGGAAAAAAAAAACAAACTTTTTATTGTTTGTTTGTCTCTTTTTGATTACAGATATTAGCCAAATTACAGGCAGGTGAATATAATATAGAAAGCTTAAGCAAAATGTAAATAAACAAAAAGCCAGCAGACGAATACATTTATCAAACTTGAAAGAGATAAATAAAACGTTTTGAATTAAATAGTAATGAATAATAAATTAATGATGAACAGTTGATATTTCTGGAATTATTGTATTTATATATGCATGCACCTCTTTTAATAATTATAGGATTAAATTGTTGCTTTTTTTGTGTATTTATTTCCAGTTGTTTTTTTTTTTATTTAGGGATAGCATTTCCAGTTTGTATTCTTTTGACAGTATCACTGAAATAGCTAAATATAGTTTTAAATCATAAAGTGAAGTGAAAAAAATCTAGATTTTCATTGGTGTTTTGCTGTACCATCAAAATCACAAATTGTGTTGTTCAAATTAAATAAATAGCAGTGACGTAATTTTGAAAAATGATCATCAGAAATTACTTGACATATAACTGCATTGATTCAGAATCAAACATGATGGAATATTATTGACAACATTGCTTTTGGAGTCTCACCAGGATCTGTATTAGGGCCTAAATTATTCATACTGTACAGAAAAAAAATATATATATTGGAAGATTTACTTTCTAAAGTATCAACTTGAGTTTAAAATACTGTAAAAAACATACAAACTTTTCCAGTAATTAAAGAGTAAACTAAACTGTATGTAAATATTTATTGATAAGCAAAATGAAGCAGTATTTTTGCTTTTAGAAAAAAAAAAATTCTTATGAACTGGGTCATATGAAGTGGAATGCTAAATGTAATTTTAAATGAAAGCATAAACACATAGTGTCTTTAGTTAACGTATTTTTTTTCCATTACTGACTTGAAAGTTTGGATACACTCTAAATTGCAAAAATTACCCAGAAGTTTAAAAATTTTCTCATACATTTTTTGATTTGTGACTTACTTATTTTAAACTTAAACATTTTTATTAGGTTTTGTTCTGGTTTTGAGAACTGATAGACCCCGGCTGAAACAGAGTGGGGATATCAACACATTTTTGAAAGTTTTTAACATGTAGTACTTGCTAGAGAAATTTAGTTTGAGCAATATAATTGTATATGCCCTAAAAAAATAAAATGCATCAAAGAGTGTGCGTATAGCAAGAATATAGCCACAGCATTGCATTTATCTGCACTTACACCAACCAGCAATATGTTGTTCCTGACGATCACTTTTGATCGCTTGTCTTCTGATGGTTACATTTAAGAACCAGAAGATTAACTTAATGAAATTAGTCCTACATTTGTTCTCCTGACCAGCGTCAATGATATGGTACACTACATGCAACAAGCTGTCGTATTATTTATTAAAATAGAATTCCTGTTAGACGACGGGGGGTTTAGTCTGGTTGGACTGTCAGTATATAGATTACCTAAATGGCTCAGTGAGCTTGTGGAGTGGACAGCAGATTGGTCTACAGATCTGCGACATGACGGGTGGTGCACTTGACCCGAAGATGCATATCTGATATGTGTCCTCTGTTACTGTGTGTGTTCAGCAGAGGATCCAGGTTAACCTGATCCAGAAACAGGATCTGTGCATGTCCAGCAGACCTTCAGTCTGTTTGCCCCACTGCCAAAGGTCAGCTCTGAGGTCATGGCGAGAACAGTGAGTGAGTGTAGAGTTTAGTTGTTTTTTTTTTTTCGTTTTTTTTTTTTTTTCTTACTCAGTGTGTTCACCTTAAATGTGCCCCATATTGGTTTGGAGGAGAATAATATTCTGCTGACTTATTTCTCAATAACCACCATGTCACTAATTGGTCTTAATCCAGCGTGACTGAGTGTTCCCGCTCTCCCGGCCGAGTCGCTGGGCCAATCATGTCAGCGGAAACTCTGAAATATTAAACATCTTGAGCTGCTGCCTAAGTATTTGAGGTACTCTTGCCTTTGCATTACTGACTCTTAAAAGAAGCAGGGCTAATAGGGCGAGCTGGACGAGGCCTGTAATGGAACGGCGATTCTCGAAACAAGAAATTATCTCCAAAACATTAATGCCCGCAGTTTGCTCTCTGCTGACATCTATTATTAGCATCACAGGGAGAGATCGGATCAGTGTATCCCAGAAACTCGCAGACACTCCGGGTATTTCCTCAGCCACACTTCTTTTGATATATTTGGATGATTCACCTCGTGTCACCACAGGAATGCACATACCACAGATGGTATTTTGGCCATATTAAAGCCCACACCATCAACTCTGAGGGACATACATGTCTGACGGGTCAAGTAGAGCGACTGGTGAGTTTCTGGGGCTGGGATTCACCGTTTCCAGAGTGACATTAAGAGGTCTCAACAATGTTTGCCTTTAGGATGTAGGAGCTCTAGACCACTCGACGGGGGTCCTTTATCTTGAGTGTTTGCTTTGTCTTTATTTTTAGTCTGAAGTGGTTTGTGAATATTAAGGAAAATGTCAATTATAAATGAGTTCGATATCACATAAAAACATGTTTCTCTGGATATTTAAAGAAAAATAACAGAACCTACGAAAATAAACTTTGCCAAAATTATTCATAAAATATAAGGCATTTTTAGGTGGTTGTATTCAGCTTAATCTATTTGTCTCCATGGAAAGATATGTCGTGGGAGAAAAGCATGAGCTCTTATCTTCTGCTGTGAACAACAACAACAAATAAATTCACAAAAATCCTACCCAAAAAAGTTAAAACCAGCTGGACTGCACGAAAAGACACACAACCTTTTCATCCCTTACTTTTTTTTTAAATCTTAAATCCCACTTTATAATGTAATTATAAAATTACTTGTCTCTGCTAAAATGCCAAAATCATGCAACTGTTTTGGCTGGACAGTCCTGTATTTTTTTGCTTCTGCATACAATTGATTGAACAGATGAAAGCAGTGACTTTTTCAAATAATTTTTATTTATTTTTTTTTACAAACACTGACATTACCATTTGCTTAAACAAATTCATGATCTTAGGGTTGGACAGAATGTCAAATGTATTTTAGAGCAACATCTCAGTCACAGCAGGTCCTTGTGGCATCATGAACAAAATCAAAAGAAATTAGCCAACCCTTGAGTACAATTTCCAGATGCCTGAAAAATTACAACTAAAGAAACCAAAATAAAGATTGTTTCCATTCTTTATTTTCTGTATGAAAAAAAGGTATAATACCCAGTTCACTCTTCTTGTTGGGCAAGTGCAGTATTTTAGATGAAAGCAAAGAAAAAAGCGGTAAAGCTGTCAGTTTCTCATGCCTCCTCACTGGCTGGTTCGGTGACCCAGTCAGGTCTGGAAACAAACGCCAGCTCCAGGATGATGACGCATCATCCTGCGTGACAGACCCAAAATGTGGCCGTGCCAACCGGAGCACAATGGTCCCGCTGCTCGGGGGCCGGCTCTGCCTTTGTCCGACTCTGGTTAAGCAGACTTAAAGATAATTCCACGGATAATTCTTGGGACCAGCGGCTCAGTCTCTCCCACCAGGAGACCTGATTCCCCCCCTCAGCCTGGAGCCATGGCCTGCCGAGAGCCTTTTCTCTCCAGCCCCCAGGAGCACGGCCTCGGACACAGCGGTCGGAGCCACGGCAACAGTCTCTCGAGGCTGAGCCCACCAGTTCTGGTTGCCAGGCGCTAAGATACACACCCGACACACTGAGGGTATGTGTCTAAACGGTTTGGGGTTTGAGGGGAAAGAGGAGGAAGGGGGAGAAGTCAGGCGCTGGTTGTGGTTTTGAGTGACAGCTAGACTCAGCAACATTCTCCAGGTCAAGAAAGTGTATTTTCTCCTCATGAAGTCCCATTTTACCGTGGCGTACAAAGTCCTTAAGAACCTACAGTAAAACAAATGCATTATTCTAACAGCTACTGAGTGTATTTATGCCTACTTGCACCTTCTTTTCTTCAGTCTGTTTGCAGTGCGTTGTGGGGGCTGTGCGGAGGCCATCTCCCCTGCAGAGCTTGTGATGCGAGCAGGAGCCGCTGCTTTCCACCTGCGCTGCTTCACCTGCAAAGTTTGTTCCTGCCGCCTGCAGACTGGAGACCGCTGTGTCCTCCGGGAGGGACAGCTTCTGTGTGCCAGAGAGAACTACCATCAGTGTCTGGCGAGTCCAATATCTTCAGATACTGGTATACAATCTGAATGCTTTGATGCTGCTTCTATTTCACTTACTTTTAATGATATTTGTGCTCTTTATTCTCACTTTGTTTGCTCAAATTGTGTAGCTCACTGAAGCAGGCAGTAGCTGACCTGGCAGCCTATTTGAAAAGCAGACAATGAGATCATTTATTTAGGTCGACATGTATAAGTATTGGAAATGTTTTATGTATGAATTGCATATGCATAAATAACTCTATTGTTTACATTTAGGAGATGCTTACTTGAATTAATTATGCATTAACGTTTTAAGATGAGAAACAAATAATCATTTAATAGTTAAAATGCGTTAGACCATTAGTTTTGTTTGTGTTACAATAATGAATACAGTTTTTATTATAAATAGTGGATATAAGTATTTCTATTGATTATTGAGAAGTATAAAAATTATTTAACAGAAACCCATTTCTTATATAATGTAAATAAAAACAGTAACATATTATTTTGTTTTCCACTGTCTCTAGAACGATACCTGACTCATTTACTATCAAAAACTTCTCAAAACAAATGTACTGAAAAAATGTATGTGTATATCCATGATGTATTGTTAGACATGCTGATTGATTAAAAATATATGTATTTTCTGTTGCAGATGATTTGATTTAAAAATAACCCTACTAAGCTTTCATGCAAAGTACATTAAATAAAAATGTGCAACTACTATTAAATCAGGAAATTAATATTTAATCCTATGTGAATCAGACCTTGTTCAGACATGATTAATTAGTCAACGTAAACTAAATGCTGTTGTCCAAAATCACAAAAGTCAGCTTTGCACAACAATTACCTACTTTTGCTGAGTTGGTTTTTGCTATTATTACCTGTTTTGAGCTCACTTAAAACAGATGTGACACCCAAATTTGAAGAGAAGCACCCTACTGCATGATGCTATGTCACTATGAGTTCTGTTTGCTCAGAGTGATGAACAGCTTCAGTTTTCCACACATTTAATGTTTTTTTTACCTATATACTTCGCATTTAGCAGAGCACATTCTCCTACATATTTGCTGGGTCTCCTTTATGGCTGGTGGTAAACAGCAGACAGCTCCTCCTATGATTTTTTCCCCCTATGCAATTACTTTCTTCTTGGCAACCTTCCATAATGGTCAGATTTCTAGAATGCACCACCGCTGGTTGTTTTAACGTTTACGTATTGTTATATAACCTCCCCTAGTTTTATGCTGCTTTAAAACGTTTTTTTTTTTGTTTGTTTTTTTTTTTTATTTCCCTAAGTTTGTCTTTTATTTTTTGTTCCCTAATTTGAACAAGCAGTTGTTTTTTTACATAGGGATTAAAATACACACAAATACACACAAAACTGGTCTCCATTTATGAACTGGGTGACTTCTGAAAGCAATTGGTTGCACTGGACAGATTATCATATTTAGATGCAGTTAAAACCTAAAATGTTTGTCCAGGTGCATTACTTCTACTCAACATATTAAATTACATACCTACCTTTTGCTTGGTAAAAGTTTCTCTGGTCTAATCTCTGCATGTCTTCCCTATCATGTTGGCCCAGCAGGTAAAAGTGACGATGAAGAAGAGGAGGAATTGGGGCGGATTACACAGAGGCGAGGCAGTGCCAATAATCCAGACACCAAACGTCCCAAAAGACCTCGCACTATTCTGACCACCCAACAAAGACGCACCTTCAAGGCTTCCTTTGAGGTCTCATCAAAACCTTGCCGAAAGGTAATGTGCTTGTCCTTTGATTTTATACAGACTGACTTCATCACAGCTCAGCTAATATCCTACAGATGACACAGTGGCTTTTTTTTTTTTTTTTTTTACTTTTTTTTTTGTTTCATATTAGAAAGTTGAAGGAAGTTGTAAAGACACAAAGCAGATTTATATAAAATAAATCCAAGAGCATTTCAAATGTAGCGTCATTATAATTTGACCTTTGTCTTTCCTTTTGTTTTGTACTTTTCTAACCTTGCTTTATTTCTTTTTCTGCTTCCCGCCTGAATCTTAATCCAAGGTAAGGGAGACCTTGGCAGCAGAAACGGGCCTAAGTGTCCGGGTTGTGCAGGTCTGGTTCCAGAACCAGAGAGCTAAAGTAAGCGTACACACACACACACACACACACACACACACACACACACACACACACACACACACACACACACACACACACACACACACACACACACACACACACACACACACACACACACACACACACACACACCCCCACACACACACACACACACACACATATGTACACGCATACACAATCTCACATGCACATTTAATAAAAGCAGTCTTTCTGCACTGACTTTCTGAGCCAATGGAAATCAGCCGAGTTATCTCCTTATACAGGAAGCTGATGACATCTTGCAGGGAGATCACTGGAGATTAGAGCTAATATTTCCTCACAAAGTGGACTCATGTGTGGTTTCTCTCACTCAATGACAGATGTTCTTGACTTCACTGTTAATATTTTGCGACTCAAGTCACGTGACTCAGCAAAACAGATTGTTTTGGGTTTTTTTTTTTGCTATTTCATGAATGTTTGTTGTTTAGATGAAGAAATTGGCTAGAAGACAACAGCAGCAGGAGCAGCAACATACTCAGGAGCAATGTGAAGTCTCAACAGGTAAATTCAGACATAATACTGTACAACTTATCACTTGTGACTTTAATTACTCACAATTTAGATTAAGAGTCTGAGTAAAAACAACTGAATCATAGATGTTTGAAAAAAAGACCACTTGTTACAAATTCACATAAATGTTAAAGAAAAATCTTATCAATCAACTTTATGAAACAATTTTCATACAGTTTTCTGTGCTCTTCAGTGCCCTCATGTGGCAGTGTCGGTTCAGAGACAAAGTGCATGGGGCCATCTTTTGCCCATGTTCAGCAGCAGCAGCAGCAGCAGATGGGGCTCACCACTCTGGAGCAGCAGGACTGGGACACGGACCCCTTCAGACAGGGCCTGACTCCACCCCAGATGCCAGGGGATCATATGCACCCTTATGGTAAAAGAGCTCTGCAAATTAAACCGTGCTATACTTAATGAAAAGCATTTTGCAATTTGACAAAGAAAAGCGAGAGTGCATTTAAATCATTTTATAAATGTTAAAATTTAAGTTTGTTAAAATGTCACACATCAGTGATAAACCTGGAATTTTTTTTCCCATTTAATTTGATTTGTTTTACCCTTATATGTCTTTTTTTAATCTCAGAATATCTCTTGCCTCCATGTTAAAAAAAACAGGATTGTTTTTGTAGAATGTCTGTTTTCCAAAAGGTTAGAGGGTCAATGCATGAACAACATAAGCCACTGCTTGCAGCTTCCACATTAGCAAGGAAACCCAAGAGCAGACAATTTCTCACATAGACAGGGTACTGGTATTAAGTCTCAAGTGTGTAGTTACATTTGTGAAAATTTAGTGTGTTCATTTCAAAATGTAAAAACAAGAAAATGACTTTTTGAAAACTTTAATTCACTTTGGGCACAAAAAACCCCAGGCATGTGGAATTGGAATCATGTTTTAGTAGTTTGATAAATATGGTACAGTTCATTATCACTAGTTCATTGCTTTCATTCTGGTTGTGTTTGAACAGGAGTCACATTTTATCCAAACAGTAACAACAGTGAATGAAAATTTCCTCTGTATGTATGTAGTCACAGTCTATTTCATCTGGCCACTCCTTTGTGACTATTAACTCTGTGGTAAAACACTGTACTACAGACATTCAGATGGAAGAATTAACTCAGATAAATAACTGTGTCTTCAAATACAAAGGCCCTTCAACTTCCTTGCTATAAAAAAAAATACATAAAGTCCTTTAATCATCCCAAACTGTTGCCACATCAAATTGAAAAGTGAAGATTTACTGGAAACTGATAAAATTTACTTTAGATTTTACCATTCTAACCTGTTTTTGTAGACTACGTTAACTTCATATTAACTAGTAAAGTGTTTATATGTAAATGTAAAAAAAAAGCAATAAAAATATGACTACCTTCCCTCTTTAACATGGAGCCACCTTAGAAGATTTATATTCTGTTACATTCTATTCAATCTGGGGGAACAATATAGCATGAACAAAATGTAAAATATCAAAAATAAAACTTGCATAACAAACCTGATGAAGTCATTAGTGTAACAGTCTTCTAAGTGAGAGGTCAAATCTGAAGAGTACATGCACTAACCTAATGATAATTTGGATTTTCGCAGGTTTTCAAGGTTTGTATGGGGAAATAGACAGGGAGTCTCTGTGCCATGTTGCTGACAATGACTGCCTCTCTTTGGCTGGATCGTCCCCACTCACTCCCATCGACTGCCTCTACTCCATGCAGGACTCATACTTCACCTCCTGAGGGTGGAGTTCAGGCTCAGGGAGAAGCTGCAATCTACTCTGGAAACACACTTTTATCTCCCCAAACTAGTTAGGTCAAAAAATGTAAAATTTCAGAAGTGGAGATGGGTACACTGTGATGCCATGTAATTTAACATATTCAGTTCTTGGTAAACTCTGACACGTTGCTTCTTTTAATGCTTTCCATTGCCCATTTGCAGCACAATGTCTAGAAAGCGAATAAACCCTCCACGCATGGTGCTGTTACCCCTCACTTTTTATGGTTAGACAGAAACCCCTTCTGTCCATGTACATAAATAACCTTGGAGTGTATTTGTATTTATTATCACAATGTGTGTGTGTATACTGTTCATTCAAATTAATAAAAATACATCCAAGATATGCCAGATTTTTTTGTGAGAAGATTCTTTGGGTGACGTGCAGGTGAGTTAATTCTCATCATCCATCAGTTCCATCTAAATGATGGGTCAGTGCTTCTTTTTCCCCTGGCCATTGCGTGGATCTGTAGATTGCAGATTGCGGAGCCTTCACAGCTGTTTGGGTCAGCGGCAGGTAAGCATTGCATCCATGCCATCTTCATCAACGGTCGCATTGTGCTTCTTGCATTCTTCTGCCTTCTCCTTCTTCCAGTGGATGAGGGTAGAGGGTGGGGTGGTGGGACCACCCAGGCACTGTGCCCGACTGGAATGCTTCCAATCCTTTGGACGGGAGGCTGAGAAAACCCTCAGAATAGACGAGGCACCAGACAACGGAGGGGCTGAAAGCTGTGTCAGGAGAGAATGCCCAGCGTGACGTGAAGATACGAAGCCCAACTGTACGGATTGCCTCCTTGCCCCTGCCGTGAACCCTCTCCTGGACTTGTCTCGCATTTCTCACTATGAAATCAGACCTCGCAGAGCAGAGAGCGCAAGTCATTGGTCAGGAACAATCTAAGTGTCTGTCAGCGGGGTGATTTGCTGCCAAGCAGAGAGCTGAAGAAGTGTGTAGCAGAGAATATCTTTGTGTGAGTCCCTTTGGGTCTGTATCTACTCCAAGTATCTGCTAGCATTTGCATGATTCCAAGCTCATGTGCAAGGAGGAGCAACACCGTCTGCTTTCAAGGCACAGTATGAAGAGTTAACTGGTGTCTGTGTTTAAACAGAATGAGAGACAACAGCGTTTGTGAGAGTTTGAACAGACATGCATTAAATGCAATTAGCAGCAGGGGAAGGATTTAAAAAAAAAAATAAATAAAATGTAATCATACAGTCACAGCAGGTAGCAATAACCTCATTATTACCATGATGGTAGCCAAACAGTTTCCTGTCAGCGGTTGGTTATTAATTGCACCCGTTGTGCCAGCCGCAGGCCACAAACCCTCTGTCTTTTAACTGGTATAATTGGCTTCATGCTGTTGTAGCATCAAGACAGATACACACGCTTTCCTGAAGACATTACAAAGGCTTTCACCAGCCAACGAGAGGTTTTTCTAGTAATGGATAACAACTCAAATGTACAACAAAAAGAATCTGTGCAGATCATAAATTGCAGAATCCGATTTTAAAGTAAACGCAATGCAAACGCTGTGACTGTGACCCACTTCAGCTAAAATAGTTGATAGTTGACCTATAAATAGACACTTAACCCTTGTGAAGTTTTCTTTCTAGTTAGCTAAGAACCAGAATAATGAGAGAGTTTTTTATATAAAGTGTATTTTTTATAAAAAGTTTTTAAGTACCTACATTTGTACATTTGGGAAATGTGCTTATTCATTTGATGATTTGGGTCAGAAATTTAGTGCTGAAAGAAAAATCCAGTTTGCATCAAGCTACCTTAAACTTAGCAACGATAAAACAGAGTTTCTACTCACTGGCACAAAATCCACTCATTATCTAAAAAAATATTTTAAAAAAACACTGTAATTTGGGTTATTGTTGTTTAACGTTGTTTAAGGTGCTGCTATTGTTATTAACCAGTTTTGGTTTAGTGTGACTAGATCATTTTTTCCTCATTTGTTATAGGTGCTGCCAAATAGACCAGTGATGTGACGGCATAAAATTGTTGTGACAGAAGAGGGCGCTCTAAAGCATGTGTAAAGTGTAAAGTGGTAGTGCTGCCTGACTGCTGGATTGGGCCTTCTGAATTTTATACGTGGTGACACATTACAACCTCAAGCTTTAATGCATTTTCTACGATAATTAAACCTTTCGTTGTGATGTGGTAGGAAAATATATATTTTGGCAAATTATTGCACTTTTTTTTTCTTTTCTCTTCTATTTTTTAACAAATAAAAACAGGCAAAACGTGGCAGCCAAATACAGTCAACTCTCTTTACTGTCTCGTTAGATAGTAAAGGAACTGCTATCTCAGTAGTTGTTAAACTGCTGCAGTATTTCACCCAAAAACCCAGGGAGCTGTCAAGACAGTACGTTGTTGTCCAGTTCTACATGTGAATATTTAAATACCACATGAAACAATTATGTGAATTTGCTCAAGTGAGATTAAATTGTCTCTGACTAAGAAAAGGCATTTTTAGGATCCAAGGATTAAATCGGACCTCGCAGAAACATTCACAACCACTGACATTGTGTTGCATTACAACCACAGACTACAAAGTGTTTATTTGACAGACCAAAGTAGCGCTTAGTTGTAACAGGAAAAAGGAATTACATGATTTTTAAAACAAACACAAATATGAAACATGCATTTTACCCCTTTCACTCTGATGCTACTAAATAAATCCAAATAGAAGCGGTTGGGCTATAAAGTTATCTAATCATTAAATGGATTTCATTTGTATTGTCTTGTCAACGCTTCAACACTTCAGATTTGCCACAGCAAGAGGTATGTGGAGGTATGCAGCGCCCCCTAGTGGATAACAGACGACACCTTGTACAGCTTGTACAATTTTTCCAAAATATATGTTATTTAAAATAGTTTTATGTGAAAGGTATGGACAAGTTTGTTGAAAAAAAAAAACAATGCAAAAAACAAACACGCAAAAAAACAACAACAAAAAAAAAAACGTTTTAGTACAGTTTTATTTGGAAACTTTCACTACTTCACATCTATAAATTCCAGTGGACGATAAAATAATAAAAATATTTTTTCAAGTTGGTAAATTAATTGTCCAAACTGACACTTATTTAATTAAGTTATAATTTAATAATTTACCAAAGAATAATTCCAGTACTTCTAACCTAATCTTTAACTCAGTTTAATGTATTTTGTGGTGGTTTCCATATTGGTGAGGTGAGCAGAGTAGAAAACCTTTCCCAAACACTGGTTAGAGTATTTGAGGGTTGAGCCCAACTTCGGGGAATATCAAGTACCAGTCTTGAGGTGACCTCCAGGAATAAAAAATAACTTCAGATGACTACTAATACCATGTTTTTCTCCTAAAATTCAGATTTTTTTATTTTAATTTTTTTTTCAGAAATGTGTACAGAGAGTGTTCACAGATTTGAAAGTCTTATTACCAGTTGTCTATACACCATAACTGTGAACAAGTTGTATTGTATGCATTACTGGTTTATCAACAGCATCATGCAAATGGACCAGGAAAAATAGATGAATGCATGACTTACTTCCTTCCCATGCTATTTTTGATTGGACCGCTGTTTGTTTGATTTGATCTGATTGTTTACAAAAAATGTTAAAATAAATGTTTGTTTTTTTTACTGAAACAGAATTTCAGAGTGACAATCTCAAATGTTTTGAGAATTTGTTGCATTTGACAAATAATTTTTAATTAATAATAATATATTTCCCTATTTTATTTTGTAAAAAGCAAATCTGACATAAATATTCAGAACCAAAATTAGCTTATCTTACTTATAATAGCAATAATCAAATGAGTTAGCTTGAGTTAGTTGAAAATCCTCCTCTGTCAATAATTATCACATTCACCAGAAGCTGGGGGTGTTTCAGCAAGTCAAATACTTGTTTCATTTTTAACCAATAAGAAAGTGTCTCTTGACACCTAACCTATCAGATTAAAGTGTGTAGTTCTTTGGGCAAATGGATATAAATAGTGCCTCCAACCTGCATTCATCACTTTCTTCTTTCCGCAGACACTTACCTGTCAGTGAGAGAAAACTTTGAAGCTTTTTCTTCTTCCAACACCTCAAACTCTCAACTTCAGGAATTATGGTGAGCATAAAAACGAACTGTTGCTATTCATCTTAATTTTGTTACAAACAGTTAATCTAATCTAACAAAACTAGCACATGAATACTTAAGTATATTCAGCTTTTCAAATGCAGGAAGCATTCCCCTCTTGGAGTAGAATATGTAAGGAGCTGCATGAGCCTTATAGAAACTGAAACTGCTTGTGTGTTTATATTTATTTTTTGCTCCCACAAAGCTTGCTTATTAAGCTCCATAGGCCTTCTCATATATGAAAGAAACTGCTTTCATCTGCGTCTTTAATTATTTCCTGTTTGGTTACTGAACTTTATTCAAATGGGATGTTGTTCACACAAAGACATCTGTTTTCTGACTTCTTAGCAGGAAAATTATTTATGTTTTCATTTCCAGTGTTCTAGTTTGACTAGTCAAATGACTGTAGTCATTCGATGCTGGTGTCTATTAACAAAAGAGCCCTTATCTCGTTGCTCTGGTAGATAAAGGGCAGCCAAAGCCATGTGATTTGTGGCCTTGAAATGTAATTGAGAGAGGAAAATGGGATAGACCAGCATTTTCCATTGCTTGCTTCATGTATTTTAACATTTCTTGATCATCGCATTAAGGTGATTAATTTTTTTTCCCTCCCCTTGCACCACAGCGTGAGTGCATCTCTGTACACATAGGACAGGCTGGTGTCCAGATTGGTAATTCCTGCTGGGAGCTCTACTGTTTGGAACATGGGATACAGTCGGATGGACAGATGCCCAGTGACAAAACTGTTGGAGGAGGAGATGACTCTTTCAATACGTTCTTCAGTGAGACTGGAACTGGGAAGCATGTCCCCAGAGCTGTTTTTGTTGACCTTGAGCCGTCTGTCATTGGTAAGAAAGATCACTCAATATATTAAGAAATAAAGGGGAAAAAGTTTTCTTAATCTGAGTGTCGTGTCTTTAGATGAAGTGCGCACTGGAGCATACCGCCAGCTGTTTCATCCTGAACAGATGATCACTGGTAAGGAAGATGCAGCCAACAACTATGCCCGTGGACACTACACCATTGGAAAAGAGATCATTGACCAGGTTTTGGACAGGATCCGCAGACTGGTGACTATTTCTAGAGTCCTGTTTAGCTTTTCAGATTAAAGAAGATGTAACTCTACTTCACATGTGCTTTCCTTTGGTCCCCAGACTGACCAGTGCACTGGCCTTCAGGGCTTCCTGGTTTTCCACAGCTTTGGTGGAGGAACCGGCTCTGGTTTTACCTCCCTGCTAATGGAGCGTCTTTCTGTGGACTACGGCAAGAAGTCCAAACTTGAGTTTTCAATCTACCCAGCTCCTCAGGTGTCCACTGCTGTGGTGGAGCCTTACAACTCTGTCTTGACCACACACACCACCTTGGAGCACTCCGACTGTGCATTCATGGTGGACAATGAGGCAATCTACGACATCTGCCAGAGAAATCTTGGCATTGAGCGTCCCGCCTACAACAACCTGAACAGGATCATCAGCCAGATCGTGTCCTCTGTTACTGCTTCTCTTCGTTTTGATGGTGCCCTGAATGTGGATCTGACAGAGTTCCAGACCAACCTGGTGCCATATCCTCGCATCCACTTTCCTATGGCCACATACGCCCCTGTGATCTCAGCCGAGAAGGCATACCATGAGCAGCTTACAGTGGCTGAGATCACTAACTCATGCTTTGAGCCTGCCAATCAGATGGTCAAATGCGACCCCCGCATGGGCAAGTACATGGCTTGCTGCCTTCTGTACCGTGGCGACGTGGTGCCCAAAGACGTCAATGCTGCCATTGCTGCAATCAAAACAAAACGGTCTATCCAGTTTGTAGACTGGTGTCCAACTGGTTTCAAAGTGGGCATCAATTACCAGCCACCCACTGTGGTTCCTGGGGGAGACTTAGCCAAGCTTAAGAGGGCAGTGTGCATGCTGAGCAACACCACAGCTATTGCGGAAGCCTGGGCTCGACTTAACCACAAGTTTGACCTGATGTACACCAAGCGGGCCTTTGTTCACTGGTATGTAGGGGAAGGGATGGAAGAGGGTGAATTCTCTGAGGCCAGGGAGGATTTGGCAGCTCTGGAGAAGGATTATGAGGAGGTTGGAGCTGACAGCATGGGAGAGGAAGATGAAGGAGAAGAATATTGAACAGACATGCATAACTTGTCTAAATTTCTATTTCGATAACAATAATAAAGGTATTTTTTGAGGCACTACTTTACTTCAGTTGACTTATTTAATCATATTTATTCAATAAAGCCCATAATTATTCAGACCTCTGACAGGTTAGTATTTTATATTATTTATATTCAACCATGATGCTTCTTTCTGATCGGAAATGACAGACAATTCCCAAAAGATAACCGTGATTTTAAAAAGCATCTTTTTCGTGCGTGTGTATTTGATATTTCGTAAATGGAAACTAAATATTGATTGAAAACTGTAAGTTATTTTTAAAAATGACAGTTTTATCTTGTAGTGCGAAAGGAATAAAATGCTTTAATCTATACATTTTTGAAAAGAAATGTAACATGTGAAAAATGTTTTCAAAGCTGAAATAAAAGTTGCACAACAGCCTCATGAAAAATGTGTATTCTGTTCTTTGTTAATTCTTACAGCTACTTTTTGAACAATTCATATCCCTCTTAACAATCAATTCTGTTGGTATTACAACAATCATCTCAACTTGTTTTATTGCTGCTTTATTTCTTCAAGGTTGGAGTTTCTTGTCATCAAGAAACTAGACTGAACTTTCGCTTCGTCCAATGATTCTGTAAGAGTTTAAGCTGGGACATTGGCTGGGCAACCCCAAAATGTTAAGGCCAGTAGAAACATTTAGAGCAGCTAAATACAAAGGCATCCCATGCTGTTCAGATTTTATTTTATTAGGAAAAGAAGAAAAAAAAAACCTTTTTCATTCATCTTCACAATTATGCACAAGTTAGAGGTTATATACAATGGAGGGCCAATTCACTGTAAGTGGATGCTGTGTATTGAAAACTTCAAGAATATCGAATATTAAGTATCACTTCACTTTTGCACTCAATAAGTTACTTCTATTTTTAAAAAGGGAATGTTTGACCAACCTGTTCATGCATAGGTGGTCCAGCCTTCTTGTCGGTGTAAGTGCACACTGACAGGAAGGATGTCCCATCTCCATAACTATAGCATTAGTCTTATTAATGACAGTGGGGCAATTTATTTGTTTGGTTTTTTTAATTTACATTTCACTTTGTTCCCTTTTCTTCCATTTTTTATTTTTATTTTAAATGATACTCTTTTCTGTGATGAACAGTGGTCAATGGTCCTGTTTTGTACATTTTTGTTCCCAAGAAAAAAATGTTTTTTTATTGTTCAAACAAACTGCATTTTGTGTTACTCCTCGGGAAGGGAAGTGGATATTGTTCGTCCTTATGTTTTTGCAAAAAAATACTATCGGAGCAACTTGGTAATTTTTTTTTTTTTACTCTTAATTTCACTCGTTTTCTGTTATAGGAAAAATCCTTCTGGGGCATCTTTCAAGGTAATGGCACAAGGATACAAATGACTTGAAACCAAATGCTATGTTCTAATATCCTTATAAAACATGTTTGTTTCAACTTACTATAAAACAAGTTGTGTAAACCTGGGATTAATAATCACAGTTACATATTCTATAGTAAAATAAACATGAGCTATCCACAACTATCAAAGCACAGGCTTGGTTATCCAATGTGGGCCTAAATTAGTGTGAAGGAAACTGATGACAGGAGTGACTTAGATCTGACCTGTTGCACAGTCTGGACAGGAAGTGACTTTAGCATGAGTGTTGGAGCATGGCGACAATCAGGTACGACAAGCACAAAACCAAAGCAAAGAAAAGTCCCTTGGTGAGTTCCGTTAGGGCCAGACTAAAGAAAGAAAAACATTGAAATACAAAGCACTTTTTTAGTTCTAGACAGTTCACCTACTTGGTCATGCAAGGTCACAAGATGCCCTCAAAGTTCTGTGGTTGAACTCTTTACAGTTATGTTCAATAGGTTCTTAAACCTCCCTTTTATGCTACTTAAGTGAGAGGGAAAGAAAAAGAAATTACTTTTGTATCTCAAACATAAACTTTATTGGTATTCCATTTCCAGTTTCCCAAGCACAGAGGAACAAAGTGGCTCTAACTGGCAAGGAATAGAGGGTCCGCCTACTAATCCAAAACCACGTTCACAATGGCAATGGCAGTTAAAATGCCTGGACCCAAAGGGGTGGAAACAGTGCTGGGAACATTGCTGAAGATCTGGCAAGAGTTTGCATGTGTTTGCAAAAGAGATGCAAAAAATCTGTTTTTTTTTTAACGAGGAAGAGGGAAACTTTTCTTCAACATTGCTTCAACATAGTGTTTATTAACAGAGTCTAAATACATTTACAGTGCACGCATGCTCACATTTAGTTTGCTATAAACATTACATTAGAGTAAGATTTTAACTGGGCCAATATGACACATTAATTAAGTTGATCTGAGCATGTGTATCATAGCTGTAATGTATTTTTTAGCTGTTTTGTCACCAGAACAAGAATGTTCAGCATGAATGTCTTGGGTTATGGGTCAGATGGAAAGTGAACCTCTGCACTGTCTTCCTGTCTTGTGGTAAGAATTAAAAAAGGTTTTCTTATGACTTCCCTTCAATTTTGGCTTCCTTCATTGGCAGAGTTCCATAAAGATTGCACAGCAATCAGTTACAATGGTAATCTCACTGCAATTTGACAATGTTATCTCCATGCATATGACAGTGCCACAGACTCTTTTCTTATTCATTTGCGAGTAAACCTTTGTGTGATGTTTGATAGTGACTTTAAATTTGTCAGATCTGCTCAGTGGTGGAGAATTTTCTTTCCAAAGCGGATTCATAGTTTTGACAAATCATCAACATAGCAACAAACTGTCTGTTTTAGTGCTGTTTTACTACATCAGATTTCTGTTTATTTCAGGATTCTGTTTAAGGTTGTATTATTTATTTTTCAGTATAAGATAAAGATGTACTAAATTGGTCCCAGATCTGGGGAATTATTGGGCAGCAGCATGACGTAAATAAAACAGGAAAGATTCTTAACATAAGTAAGAATTAAAGTTTGAACCTTTGCAGTCCACCCAGAGGATGCACGGTCCACAAATATACCATCATTTGACCTTTTTATCTCCAGGAGCAAAGGCACTGTTCGGAGGAGGAGCTCTTCTTAATTTAGACTTATAGAGTTCATAAGATCTCATTTGCTCGTAAGGAGCAAACTGCACTGGGCTCTCTGAAGTTGAGGTCCCTACCAAGATACAGGAATGTGTGGATCAGTACAAACACCAAGACATACAAGTCAAAAAAATTTAATAAATGAGTCCATATACTTACATTTATTTAAAAAAAAAAGATTAAAAAATACAACTTTATCATTCAATTGTTATTTGAGATGGGTATTTTAAGACATTATATACACATTTTTTTTTCATCTATAAGACATGTGATATGCAACCTTTATTTTATTGTAGAGTACTTGAAAACAGACAGTAAATAAATTTGTCAGGTAACAGAACAGTTGTCCATGATAAATATAAAAATATATATTCTGCAATAATTATCTGCATATTTTGTTAGGGTGTGAGTGAGTTTCCACTTGTTCCTCCATTTACATCACTGGGTGGACTTGTTGCATCTTCAGGCTCCCTATGAAGGACAAGACTTTCAATTAAAAAAACAAAACAAAATTGCACTGGTTAAAGGTCGTACGGAAACTGAAAAATGTGGCGATGCTTCGAACAACTTCCTTACTTCAACACTGACCTGTCTTGAGCACGTTTCTTCTCTGCAAGAAATAAACAGGCACAGACATCAGTCGTGTAGCTAGTTTTCACAGTATCTCATATTTCTTTAAAGCCCAATGGAGAAATACTGACTTTTTCTGTGCCTTATGCAGCAGAAACAGATGCAAAAGAACGAACACAAGGCTCCACACCCAGCAACAGCCAGCAGCGCTTGTTTATAGCCTGTGAAAAAGCAGCACAGATTTCTTGTCTTCTGCCACAAAGTCCATTTTTTTGGGACAGAATCTTAGCACTTGCATGTAATTACTTGTACAAACAGGCCTCGGTCCAGTCCAGTGGCCATTAGCTGCACAGGTCACAGCTGATGAGCCAATCATAAAGAAACCCAGATGGCATTTGAAGTGGCAGGTTGAGTTAAATATCTGACCTTCTTTGGAGCAGCTGTAGTTCCCATTCAAAGGCTGAGACAGTGGGGGGCATTGCACAGCTGGGGTGCAAACAGATTGAAAACATATGCAACGATGTAATATCTTGGAATTATAGTCTGTGTAAAACATATTTGCTTAAAAACACAAAACATATTAGCGCACGCAAAGGAAGTCATTGAAGACAAATCCAATAGAGGTCAACAATACGCCACAATCTTCGATTTAGTAATTCTGCATTTGAGGTCAAAACTATGTATTCACCAGAACAAACTGGCTGTACATCACTCCAGGTCCTGTTGGCCTTGCAGGTCACCATATATGAGCCGTTTATGGTGAATCCTGGATCACATTTAAAGCTACAGGTCGTGTTGAATTCCCACCCTCCTTGTGAGCATTTTAGGTCTCCATTTTCAGGCTGAGACAGAGGGGGGCAATCCACAACTGTTGGCAAGAGTGGTTCAAATAGACAAAACTTATGTAAGAACAAATACTTTTTCCAAATAGAGCTGAAGTGTGCAAGTTTTGATAATTGAGTGGGGCTCAGGAAACAAAGGAAACAGGTGTTTTGCTTAATGCTAAAAAGAAGAGCAGGACGAATGCAAGAACAATGTTGATGACCTCATGTGGAAAGAGATAACAAGTAGGTCAAATGTGTGAACAATAATTTGGAAAGTGGTCCACTTCAGTCTGTTTTTATGCTCTTCCTGTTATTTGATAAATTAAACATGACCTTGTAGGACATATCTTAAGCAAATTTGCTATTTTGGCACAATTTCCCCTGAAATCAGATGGTTCCATCCTGGCTATGCACTGTGAATCTCATGTATTTCAGTCATTTAGAAACATCTTTATATTCACCTGTTTGGCACTTATCTCCCTCATAGCCGTCAATACACAGGCAGGCTGCGCTGTTTAAAGTCTCCCAGCAGCTTCCTTTCATACAAGATGAATCGTTACACTGAGCTGTTAAGGACAAATATTCTTTGTTACTTATGAAGCCAAGTTGCACCTTTTTATTTTACTTTTAACTGAATTGCTTTCTGAAAATAACCAGTTTCACTTACCTTTGTAGCAAACTGGCAATTTGGTTTTAGCACACTTCTCATCGTTCCACTTCCCTCGGTTCTGTCCATTATTGACATACATCTCAACACAAAACTCTGTGATGTGATTGTTGTTTGGCTCATTTTCTGCCCATGAATGTTCACCGACCCACGTGCTGTTGTTACCAATCCACTTCCAGGTTTCATTTATGTGTTCTTTTATGAGTCCAATCCAGTAATACGGACTCTTGGTTCTGTTCGGCAATATGGACACGATGTAGTCGTTCTCTGTCTGATTCTGGATAACCACCATGTCTGTGAAATGTTCCTGGCACCATTTTCTAGCCTCAGGCCAGGTCATTGTGTCGTTTGAGTAGTGGTATGTCCAGCCCCATGTTGCTTCTGCAAAAGACCAACCTGAAAATAGATTAGGAAACAGAATTTGCTTCTATAGAACAGCTAATGCTTGTTCACCTAGTCATGTTGGTCATTTCATGACTAACATGACATGACAAAACCCACCAAGAATGATGAACAGAAGCCACATCATCTTTAATGAGCAGCTTTACCTATTTAAAAAGATAAAATGAATAGTTAACAACAGTTAATAATCTGAAAATGTATCTAATGTGTTACTTACCCAGAAATGCTGACGTATTAAATGATCAAAAACTGCAACAATGCTTTACTTCCAACATTTGTTTTCTCAATTATGTCAAACAGAGAACCTCATACGCCTGAGGTGCATAAGTTGAATATTATATTGGCGCAGCTTTTTGGTCAGTGAAGGAGTTTTATACTTGCCCAACATTATCATAGAATAGCTGGATGTTTGTATTGGTGGCACTGAATGATTTATTGGTCTAGCTTGACAAGAATTAATGTTTTGGGGAATTCCACTCATTTCTGATAAAGGTCACTCAAGGGGGAGATTTTTTTTTTTGTGTTTTTTTTCAGTGCTAATAGTTTTATGGTTTGTTTCTTCACAAGAAGAAATAGTTGTTTTCTATATTCAGCAAAATATAGAAAAACCGCTCAAGTTTCTCACTGGACGAAGCTGCAAAATCTAGCATCAATCAGCTTGATTAACGTTAGCCTTTTTCACTTTTTAGTAATCTGGGAAGCCGTCCATTTTTAAAACAACATAAATTTTCCATGTATATTTTATTATTTAGATTGTTTCAAAATGATCTTGTGTGTTATTATCGATTGTTGTTTTTTAAAAAAGCAGAGCATGACATGCAGTAAAAATGCAAAACATAAGTGTATTGTCATCCCAGTCAATATGTTTTATACAGTTTCATGTCACATGTATGGTGTTTTATCTTCTATTTTGTTTTATCCTCTGTGTTTTTCTATGTTAATATTTTTGAAGTACTCATATGTAGTGTGCTATATAAAAAAAGTTGACCTAATTTCTTTGTCGTGTTTATAATTATAGCATCAGGACTTTTCATTTTGGTTATACTGACATTTCAATAGAAATGAACACTTGCTTAGAGGAATTAGTTGTTTAATTATCTGAACTTGTTTACAATTATGCAAGAGCAAAGTACAAACTCATGTACAATCATAAAAGAGTTTTTGTGCAAATCTGTGCACAAAGATTGTGCAGTTTAACAAGTTCAACATTTTTGTTTACAATGACTCAAGCAATGAAATGAGGACTCTTAGTTTCAGAAGAAATGATTATTCAGCATTTCTCAGTATAACAAAGTGTTAATTTTGACTGACATGACATGAGTAAATGATGATGCCATAGAACAAAAGAATTGTATGTAAGCCATTGATACATGTCCAAAAGGATTTGCAATTTCTTGGAAGGAGTAAGAAACTGCTACTAAAATGTGTGGAAAGGACTAAATATTATGGAGGTTGAACCAACAATTTTAAGAAATTTAACTCTGATCAGCAAAGAAATTGAGATGTTATGTAAAAAAGTAATAACATTCGTCTTGAACTCTGACTTTTACTTTTTTGGTTTTCCCCTAAAAGTGCTGACAAACCAAACAGCGACTTCTCAAAAACAAAAAAAATGCTGAGGGCTCATTTTCTGCCAACAAAATGTGAAACAAACAACTTGAGCAGTGCAGTTTCCTCACTGGCAAACCTATCAGAATTGTTCATCTACTCCTGTTGACCCCGAGGTCAGGGTAGAGTCAGGAGGACAGGACGTCTGTCATCAATCACTGTGTGGGAACCGCTGTAGGCAGATAAGATGACTGAACCAACATACAAGTAGGACCTTTGCATTGGTAGCGGGACCTCTGAACATTATATGGAAACAAAACCGATCTGTTAAATAAGACATGATGACGTGAGCACAATAATGGGTATAGTTTGACATTTTGCTGTATTTAACCATCTTTATTTAGATTACTTGCATATTGAAAACTCACCCATACATTCACAGATGCAGATAAACTGCAGCTACAGCTACAGGAGTTATTTGCATTAAATCAGTTTTATACTTAACATTCAGAAATACAGATCCCATAAATAATACTATATAAATACTGATATTAATTTGCCAAAATAATTCACAGTACATCCACAACCTTATAAAACATTCACAGTAAGGCCAAAGTAAAATACATGTCCAGCATACAGATAGCGCTATCGAACAATATGTTCATTATAAAACTCCCATTGGGAGAAAATTGACACATTACATCCATCATTTCTGGTTAAACCATGCTTTCTGTCTGTTATTTTGGGAATAATGTGGCTCAGATGAGACTGTCAGCGCTGCTTTTGTAGACCTGAAGCGGTTCCTCCGAGTCAGAGGTGCTGTCAGGAAAAAAAATTAAGAAGAAAACAAGTTAAGTTCTGTGATTCTTCAAATTTTATGTTTAACTTGATTAAAAAAAAGAGAGAGATAAATCCACCCAACATGTACCTGTTTAGCTCAAACTTGGATGCCCTTTGCTTCATTTTTTTCAAAATCCACATGACCAGAGACACACCGGATGCCAAAGCAGTGGCTCCTGCTGCCACACCAGTGGTAATAACAGTGGCAGGAGCTGAACTAGCTGTGGAGACATTATGAAATGTGAACAATCTGACCAAATTTTGAACTACAAATTCTTCTTCTATTTGAGTATGTTTTATTTTCCTTTTTCTTTACCTTGACAAGTGGGGCCCTTTCCAGTCCAGCTGCCACGGCGATCACAGGTCAGGATCTCATGTCCGTCTAACGTGTAATCCTGATCGCATGCGAAGAAGCACTGAGAGTTGAAGACTGGCTGGCTGACTGAGCAATTAATATGACCGTTTTCTGGAGCATCAAGAAAAGGGCACCTGATTGCTGAGGGATGAGGAGAAATTATCTTTAAAAAAAAATCTTACAATTGTGGCAATAAATCTCTGCTTGCAACAACATCTACACGTAGGTCATTGTTTAGTTTTATTTTTTTTCACACCTTTGCAGGTTGGTAAGGCCTCACTCCACTGTCCACCTTGACTGCATGTTGTGGTGTTTGCTCCATGCAGCTCAAAGCCTGCTTCACAGCTAAAGCTGCAAGTGGAGCTGGGGTCCAAGTCGGTTGAAGGTTTACTGCATTCTACAATCATGTGAGCTGCTCCATCTGGATTCTGGCAGGTGATGGCTGTCACAGGAGGTTGTAAAATGTATATTTAGTGAAGTCAACTTTGATGCATAGCTGGTGACTGGAATATGAAGAACAAGATGTGCATACGCTTAGACGTTTCTCACCTTCGCAGTGTGGCATCTTCTCACTCCATTCTGCTTCTGCTGTGCATGTGACCTCGCTCGGTCCCACCAGGCGATGGCCAGGGACACATTTGAAGCTGCAGCTCTTTTTGTAGCTGAACCTCATCTCCATATCATCTTCACAGCGCAGGGTACCATTTTCTAGTTCCTGCAGGGCTGGACACTGGACAGCTGCAACACACAGAGTAAACAGTTTTAATCTTTAGAGTATGTGAGAAATAAGACCAGAGAACGAACACTGCAAGAAGACATGAGTCAATCATACCTGTGCAGAAAGGTGTGGCATCAGTCCACGTTTTATCTTCAGAACACTGAATGGAGGGCGCCCCCTGCAGTTTGAAGCCTGGGTCACAGCTAAAGCTACATGTCTTTCTGTAGCTGAACCTCATCTCTGTGTCACCTTCACAGCTCATTGCACCATTTTCTAGATCCTGCAGAGCAGGACACTGGACAGCTACAACAAAAAAATAATAGTTTTAATGTGAGGAAAGCCTTGCGATGTCACCAAAAAAAGACTATTAAAAACTTTGCCAAAAAAGATATGGACAACACATACCTTTGCAGGTAGGAATGTCATTGCTCCACTGTCCATCCTCAGAACATTGAATGGTGTGCACACCCTGCAGTTCGAATCCTGGTTCACAGCTAAAGCTGCAGTTCTTTTCATAGCCATGTCCATCAACACATTTCAGAGAGCCGTTTTCTGGATCCTGGAGGGCAAGGCATTGGACAGCTGCGAAACAAGGCCTCATTAATAAACCCCAATTCTTTTCTTATAACATAAAATTATAGCTAAAAGAACCATGATAAGAAATGTTTGATTTCAATTTTTAACTCGGTAAAAAACATTAGAGCTGTTCGCTCACCTTCACAAAGGGGCATCTTCTCACTCCAAACAGCCTCTGATGTACAGGTGATCATCTCTGGTCCAACCAGGTGATAGCCAGGGGCACAGCTGATGCTGCACCTTTTTCCATAGCTGAACCTCATGTTTGTATCATCTTCACAGGTAACAAAACCATCGTCTGGATTCTGGAGGGCCGGACACTGAACAGCTGGATGACAGAGAAAAGAAAAAAACTAAGATTTTCATTATGTCTGAAAGACATGAATGCTAAGTTTATCATCAAAGATCTGCATTTCAGAGCTTTTACATTGTGAACAATCAGTGGCCGTACCAACACATGATGGCTTTGATGCATTCCATTTTCCAGATGATTCACATTGCAGAGTGATGGAAGAGGAGTCATCCAGCTCGTATCCTTCCATACAGGTAAATCTGCAGGTGGAGCTGTAGCTGAAATTTCTCAGAGGATCAGAGCACTTCATAAATCCTCTTTCGGGAGCAGACAGTTCCTGGCATTGAATCACTGCAGGTGACAGGACACAAAACAGATTCTTGAGAAGTTGTTGCTGATGGAGATGCCGAGTAATTTCATCTTTGTGTTGCAATTCAACTTACATTCACATGTCGGGGACTGCTTTGACCACCTCCCTGTTTCTTGGCATTTCTGAGGCTCCGACATACTTAGCTGATATCCTTCTTCACATGAATACTGGCACGAAGATTCAAAGGAGAAGTTCTTGTACTTGTGACTGCAAGTTACGCTTCCATTTTCAGGACTGATCACTTGATCTTTGTTGCATTGCACAACTGCAAAACAAACATTATTCATCCAGATGTTTTAATGCTGCAGGCATCAAAAAATCTCTACCACAACTAGAAACAATACAGTACAATTTCTCACCTTGCTCACACTTGTCTCCATAAAAACCTGAAAAGCATTTACACATGTGGCTGTTGATGGTCTCCACACATTCACCATAGATGCATGAGTCGTTTTTACAGGCAGCTGGCAAAAAAATATCACATGGTTGATAAATCCTCAGAATTTTAATCTTTAAGGATGCCTTCATGACAACATGAACAAAACTAGAAAAAGATAATAAAGTGCTCACCTGTGTAACACAAAGCGGTCTTTTTCTTTGAGCACCGCTCATCGTTCCATTTCCCTTCATCCTTATCCCTTTTAATGTACATCTCAACACAATCTTCAGCTTGGCCTGAGGTCATTCCACTCTGGCCATTATTTGGTTCACCGTCAGCCCAGTTGGTTGCTTCGTCTGTGAGTGATTTGTTGGTCCCAACCCAGGTCCAGACATCATTAACCTTGCGGATCCCAATCCAGTAATAACCGGCTTTCTTTGGTAGCATACTTTTCAGGTGCTCGATCTCCTCTCGATTCTGGATTGCAACCATGTCTGTATAATTTGTCTTGCACCATGTTCTGGCTGATTGCCAGTCCATTCTGACGTTTGAGTAGAAGTAAGACCAGCACTCCACACCAGTCCACATGCACAGCACTTTAAAGAGAGAACAAAGACACTTGTTACACTGTGGGACCATAAAGGATCATCAATATGTATTCATAAAAGTTAAAAAGTAACTTTCATTAATTAATTAAATTTTTACATACTTGAGCAAAAAAAGACAAATGGCTTCAACGAGGGAGACATCATTTATCCACTTTTTTGAAATCCAAAGATGAATTTCTGTCAAAGCAAACAAAAATTGCACATTAAGACAAAGCAATGCCAAGTTTTCCATTAGCAACCTGATCATAGCAAAAAATAAAAAGTAATCCAGTGAACTCACAGTTTTAGGGTTGATGGCTGAAGAACTTCAACAGTCTTGTGATTCTCCTGAAACGATTCTGAGCTTCATTTGCTGAGGAGCCTGTTTTTATACTTTGCTCTGATCCGGTTTCCAGGAAGCGTTCATTCCAGTGAAGCATTTCCATGGAATTTCCCCGAACCTCACATATCATTTCCTTTCACTTCTTGATGTCTAGAAACTTTCTCTTGCTTACTTTCAAAGAGAAAATGTTCATTATTAAGTGGGATTTATATGTAGGTTTTATTTGTAAAAACTCCATACTAATATACTTTACAATTTATTTTTGCTACTTTATATTTAAATATGATATAATTGATATAATTGATATAATATGATATAATTCTATTAAAATATTCTGTCTTGTATTATTCTGACAGTATGAAATTAACTTTTATGTTTATAATTATTATTCAGATTGATTTTGAGTATGATTTATTCATAAAAATACATACTTATTTGTTCATTTGTTTGTACAATGTTTGATTGATTCTTTGTTTATCTAAACTTAGTTTAAATAAATACAAATAAATAAAAAAAACATCACTCTTTCAGTCTGGTGTTATTACCAATGTTCTCCAACCACAAGAAATGGATTGCACTGATCAGAACCATGCAACATATATTAAAATAAACAAGCCAACACTCTTCTTTGCTTTCTTAGATAATGAATTGTTTAATACCTCAAACCTTAAATTAATTTAATCAGCAATGTACATATTTTAGGAATGTGACTAAAATACCAGAGTAGAAACTAAAGATAGATTTATTTCTTCAAATGTTACACAACACATTTTTGGCACAATGTTATGTTCCAGGGAACTTTGGTTATCTGCTTTCACTAGTTTCCTAGTGCTGACTCAGTGCATGTGAAATGTGAGTTATCAAAAGAAAAAATGTGTGCTTCAATCAGCTCCTAAATTGGGCATGGCACCACTTAAGATCCTGAAAACTGAGGAAGTGATACATGCATGAATGATGGGACCAAGAATCAACAGATAACATGCATTTCGTAAAAGCAGTTGGAACAACAAAGCCAAATAGGCAGGGAAATGCTTTTGTACAGAATAAGGAGAATCAGAGGGGCCCGCAAAAAGTTCTTTGAGTTTGCGGCTAAACAGAAAATCTCTGATGGCTCATATTTTGGTATGAGCCATCATACCAATTAAAAATCCTGACATCAGAAAACTGTTGATGGATCACATTTTGGGTGTGACTTTTGTGGAAGCTGAGATATTCAAATGTTCTTCATCTAGTTGTCTAGAAGTCTATTGCAATATTCCGAAGGGTCGGCGTGTGAAGGATTATTTTCTGTTTTGTTTTCATTAGAATGGAGAAGCTTGCCTTTGCACCTCAATGAACTCTCTGACTATGTCTCAATAGTTCAAAGGAGAGTGACTGTCATTCAACAGTGAGGGTGGATCTCTGTGCGTGCAATGTGAGTGATAATATGGTCTGCATGTATATAAAAGAGGTCTAATCAGTCGACATGTTTGTGCCCACTAGCACAACTTGCACTCTGCTAGGTAGGAAGTCAGCTTTAATGTGAAGGAGACATGAAAAATATTCAGCTCAGTAATTGATGTTTGATCGCCAGGTTCCAGATAAATCTCCTGACAAACTTACCTGATAAGTCCAACTGCTAAACTAAGAGGAACAGCATCAAAATTTGACCTCTAAAATGAAGAGCGTGCATGCTAGGAGTAGTAACTCGGAAGGATCAGTTTCAAGATAAATTTCATCCAACATTTCATTGTTACTGATGTCAGGGCTGGATGATAAATCAAGCGAGCTACCCAATACACCCTCATTTGCAATAGGAGTACTTTAGTTTATCTTTATTCTTTTGTGTTTCCTTAATATTACTGTTATTTTTCAAAGTGGAGCTCTGATTAAATTTGACAGGAAACATTTCTTGACCACGGTCTGGGAGAAGCTTATTAAGATATAACAGTATCTACTTCTTAAGAATTTTGAACATACAATTTTCTAGGCAAAGATTTAAGACTAACCAGGCTTCATCATGTAAGAAATATACAAATTAAGTTTACTTACTTGTTGAGCTCATTAGAAGAACGTTTCACTAGTTTTTTGTTGTTTTTTTAAACTCAGGATGCACTTCCTTTCCTTTCTGTATATTTCAAAGCTGTGACTCTTTATTTGAGCAGGTGATTAGTATTATATACCTGTTTATATTTTTTTGGGAGGATTCAGTGGTCAAACCTTATTTTCTTTTAAGAATGTGTATTTCTTGAAAGAGTATGATTATAAAGCTGTCTGATTCTGAAAGTTTACAAAAAAGCAACTAAAATAATACATAATTTTGCACTATAAATGAAAATAAATGAGATCTTTAAGTTTTAAAGTCTTCTAAGCACATGTGCGTTCAATGCATCTTCATCTGTAAACAGCAAAAATAGCCAAATAAGTTGATGAGCTGGTGTCCAGCTGTTTAAACAATGTGAACTGAACAGACGTCAACCTAACCTTCTTGGCCCTTCACCTTTATGCCAATACCTCAGTAAAAGGTTTTCCCAACAAACAATGTGTAAACATTAACATATGTTTTACAATTCAAAACTAAATCAGAATTTCCAGAATGAGGATGCCATCGTGTAAAGAGGAGAAGTGAAAAGAATGGACACTCTTTGATAACTCCCCTTGGGAATGGGAAAGCTGCAGGAGTAGAGGCGCCTGTAGGCTGACTTTTTCTATTGCTGACAGTTCGTTTCCTTCCTTTCTGGCACGAGGCGTCGGACAGAAGCCACTGCTCCTTGACACCTTGCAACCTCTTCCTCTTCCCCAGAAAAACAATATCAACTCTTTGATTAACTCACACAGAGATGTGAGAAATGAGGGTTCATCTTTGCTTAAAACACTTAAAACAGATTTAATTTGGAGGAGACCAACCATCCAATTTTTTGAACCTGATTAATTATTGCAGGGCAGATGATCTGATATCTATCTCCAGCAACAGGAAGGGAGCAGGAGTCACCCTGATAAGTTATAGATAAGTTCCTAGATAAATTCTATTCTTATTTCTTCCCTACTTTGGAACCCAGAATTTTCTTACTGCAAGGCAAAAGTGCTAATTACTGCTCCAATGTGTCGCTGTGATTTGGGCTAGACCTGATATTTTAAATTTAGGTTTGTGGCCTAATTACAACTGCAACACTGAAAACATTTAACTTGTGCACAGACAATACAACAACTTTACAGATGCTCAAAAGCAAGACAAACCAAATTGTATGACATGAAGTTACCAAAAATGAATGCAAAAATGTTGACAATGGCTTACTTTGGATCCAAGTTAAAGATGTATTTATGGCTTCCTCTCAATCCTTTGTCTCCTTTGAATCCAATCCCAAAGCTACAAGATAGAGTGATCCTTGGCAAGATCATCCAGGGCAATAAACTTTACAGGGACCTAAAACTATGAGCTTTGATATAAATCTATGGCTGTCTTATGGACAATAAAGTGCAAAGAGGTTTTGTCATGAAAGCAAAACAATCTGACATAGAAAACTATTTAGTTATAAGGCATCTGTTCTTTTTCACCAATGTTTCTGACAAAAATGTTGAAAAAGTGCTTTGCTGATACTAACAGCATCCAAAAACTTTCAGACTAACATACAATAGTTCAAACAGAAAACAAAATGATATGTAATTTTTACATTTTTATAAATAAGTATTCTGCAGAGTCTTGAAAACTATTTTTGTACATTCATCAAATCTGGTCGATATAAGTGAGTGACAAAAATAAACATTGTTGAAAGAATATTTTAGCTTATGGACATCATTATTGTTGCACTTCATCATGAACAAAGCACATCAATGGTAGGACATGGTGGTGGCAGCATTATGTTGTGAAAATGCCTTTCTTCCTCAGACAGGGAAGCTGATCACAGTGTAAGAATAATACACTCTTTCACATAAATACACTTTGAGGACAAAGTGCATAACTTTTATACTAGTTATCTAATTACATTTGTTACAGTGCAAACACTGTGTACGTATGCAGGGACAGTGAAACAGATATATGAATTTTAAAATGTAACACAGGCAAGATTACAAGTTTCCTACAGGAAATATTGCATTCCACATCACAAGAGGTATGTGACTTCTCTTTTTTCTTGCCTCTAACCAGTCCGTCTGCTGCAAGTGATTCCAAAAAATGTTGTTTAGCAATGCTAAACATCAATGTTGCTGTTTCCTGAAATGCTCTTTGAACCAAATATTTAATTACAAATAATAAACTTTAGGTTTATTATTCAAACCATGTTATGAACAAAGACCAAAACGGTATCTGACTCCTATCAGATACAGCAATTCAAAACAAACTGGGCGGAAAGCAAAACAATGTCTTGTTGAAAACTGCTGCCATCAGATTTAGTGATATCAGTTTTTTCCAAATGTTATGAAGCATGGTTTGAAAAATCTGATTAAAGATGTTGTATATATTGCTGCTAAGTGAAGCCAACCAGTAAAAATTTAAACAAACGTACGTATTTGCATACAACTTGTTCAACTAAAATGCTTGTGGAAAAATTATACATTACCGTAATTTATAGTCGCAGAGGTTTGTTGAAGGACATTAGTAAACAAAGAGCCTCCCGAAAAGGCAAAGAACAGACAGTCAAATCTGCAGTGGAATTGGTTTTGATCAAAGCATATATGTGTAGCAATGGCCCAGTCAAAGTCCAGACATAAATCTGTGACCAGACTTCAAAGATGATATCTCTGGAAAATGTCTCTGTCCAATCTAACTACTTTTCTGGTATTTTGGGAGGAAATAATTGTCAAAAATCTCAGTTTTGACATGCGCAAAGCTGATAGAGACACACCTTAAATAACTTGCAAATTTACTTTAAGCTAAACGATGTTAGTTACAGGGGACACAAAGGCACAACCCTTTAGATATTTCTCAGTAGAAAGTGTAAAAAAGAAAAAAAACAGAAATCTATCCATTTCCTGGCAATTAACAACGACTAACTACTTTGTGTTGTACAGAGCCCCCTAGGGGACATGGATTTTTTTTTCTTTTGCGTTACCTTGCAATACTTTTGCGTCCCCTCGCGACACAAAAGTATTGCGAGGGGACGCAAAAGAAAAAAAATCCCATGTCCCCGAGGGGGCTCCGTAGTGTTGGCATCTTAAATAAGATACAAATACAATATTTGAGTGTGCAGTTGTGACGTGCAAAGTTCAAAACGCAATGATGAGGTCTGTGCACAAAGCGAAACGTTTCATGTGTTCGCCACGCGAGGTCACCAGCGCGCACTCTCGACGCGTTGCAAGGATGCGGTGCCAAACAGCAGATGTCCTGTCGCTTTAAGACCGGAAATAGAAGTCCTGACGCAAAAGGAACCAATCGCGTGAATGTATCATGCTCAGCGTGCTTGGCAATTCTCTGAGCAGTCGGAGGCTCACTGGTAGCATATGTAGATCTGTAGGCACAATGGCAGAAGCCCTGGCTAAAGTTCCCGATGTTGAGATTGATCCCGAGGGGACTTTTAAATACATACTGCTAAGAGTTAAAGCAAAAGATGGCGACGCACAGAAAGACGTAGTACGAGGCACTAAAAGTGCGGAGTACCACAGTAAGTTCATAAGTTGCAGGTTTGCTGCAAGAGGGGCGTCAAGTGTGTCAGATCTGCTTGAAATGTTGCGTTTGTGCCCTGCAAACCGGACTGTCCGCCAAAAGTTCCGCTGCACAAACTGTGGCATGCTTTCGAGAATGAACAATGCAGACCACGGCTCTTCGGGAGCTTTACGTGAAAAACAAATAGCTTTCACGTGTTGGTTATGTGACTCAAATAATTTAAGCCTATTTTTATGTAATCTATGCAGATCACATATTTGAGAAGGTCAGTCCAGCTCTGGAGGCCTTAGGGATGGAGTGTAAATGCCTTGGAGGAGGGAAGATTGAACACAACAACAAGGACAAGAAGATCAGGGTGTTTGGAGAATCCACAGTGAGTCTGAATTAAAATTTAAAAAAAGATATAAAAAATGTTTTCTTCTTGAAATCTGTTTTCATACAAGTGCTTTCTTTGCTTCTTTTTTTTCCCCCTAGGCTTTTGGGAAAGCGGACCACTCTGTGTCTGTTGAGAAGCTGAAAACTGTCTTCGGTGACTATGAGGTCACTTGGTCCGATGACAAAAAATAGGAGTCTTGTTGCCATTTCCAAATGCCTGCCTGTATTTGTGACACCAAACCAGAGAATAATACTTTAACCTTCTCGTCTGTTATCTAATTTTAATACAGCATTAAACTCTTTGGTCTCAGTAAAATCTTGTATAAAATGCTTTGTAGGTTTTTTAAGGCCAATTTCAGTCATTTTTTTATTTTTTTTTTCCGAAAGGTTAGTCAAGAATCTTAATATAGACTTTTTTCCCCATTTTACCTTTCTGTTGGCATCACTTCATGAAAAGTGGAGTTTGCCTGCCAAGCGTAAAGTCCATACAGGAAGGTGTGAGCAAGCTGGAATCACGAACGCATCCTGTTAAGCTGGGGGACGTATATTGTTTTGAAAGCCACAGACAGATAAGAATTATTTTTTCCCTTTCCATTTTGGCTTTGCAATTTCATTACAAAACCCTATTTACAGAAAATAATGACTTTAGAGAAAATTGCTTTAGTTTCTATTTGCTGTTATTACAGTTATTACGGTTTTAGCAAGTCAATTACTTTATCAATATAAATATCCTAAAACACACATCTTTTATAAAGTTGTGTATGTAAAAATTAAGGCCTCAGGGGCTTGTTTGAGGACATTAGTGAACAAACAAATCAGGAATACATCTATGTAAAAATTTTAATCAGGGTCATGTTTTAAAAACAATAATTCAATCAAGTTTATTTGCATAGCACATTTTAGCAACAAGGAGGTTCAAGGTGCTTTAATAAAAACATCAAATTACAAAGTTATAAAGAAAATACCGTTTTATGAGGCACTGTTTAACGTATCATCTGAAAATATGTCTCACACTGAAGCTACCAACAGTGAGAAGTAGAAGCAGTTAGGAGGCCTTTGGTGACTCCGTGGGAGCTGCAGAGATCTGCTGCTCAGGTGGAAGAAGGGAAAACTATAACTCAACTACACCCCAAATCTTTGTAGAAAAGTCACATAAATTGTTGAAACATAGCCTTTCGTAATGCATTTTGAAGTTGGCCACAAGCCATGAAAAGACACAACAAATACATGTAGCTTTCTGGCAAAATAACTACATCATGATGACACCATCCCTACAGTGAAACATGTTGGTGGCAACATCAGGCTGTGGTGATTTTTCTTTTTTCAGCAGTGACGAAAACTGCATGGAGCTTAATACTGGGCAATCCTGTTGGATGCTGCAGAAGTCTTGAGGCTTGAGAAGAGGTTCGCATTCTCACCAAATAACATTTGAATATATAGTAGGAACTCATCTTCAATTTAGCTCTGATAAACTGAAGTTGCATTTGGGAGTAAAATGGCCCAGTTAGAGTTCAGATCTAAATCTAACTGGGAATCTGTGTCAAAGGCATTCTACACAACAGCTGTAGGAATACTTAATTAGGAATTATTTGGGAGTCAAGGAAAAGAAAATGAGCAAAACTACTACAAAAAGTTTGAGCAGTCTAATTCAAATTTGTTCATGTAATACTGCAACAATCCGTACCAGTCAGCCAAACCGACTGGTTGACTGGTCAAGGCAAATGTACCTAGGATGTTTTATGTCTTGAATATGTTATTTCTCTGTGATAAATGAAGAAGCACATATTTTCTGTTTTTGTTTTTATTTATGTTGTAAGAAATCAAAGAGAAGAATTTTTTTGTGTGGTTGAAAGAGGTAGAATCAAATTTTCATTTCTGTTTTGGGTGTTAAACAATGTCTGGATCTAAACAGAACAGCTTCAAAGGAGTACCACACAGTTTTTTTGCTATGCCAAGCAGGCATCCCCTTTTCCTTTGGGTTTTCCCCAATCTGAAATTAGTTACAGTGAAAATAAAATGTGGCAGACAAGAATAGATTTAGCTTCTCTTTTCACACTGCCTATTGTACTTGACCCTCATCACGAGGTGCAAGGTGAACACTGATTTTTGGCCATGTTCATTCTGCCACCCAGTGACCTAAAAAGAAAAAAGAAAAGGGATCATTCTTTCCGGTTTCCATTCAAATCCCAAAGTGGTTTCCTGCCAAGCGATAACCTTTACATTATCTGCAAACGGAAGGGTCAGAGTGGGAGGCAGCATTCCTAAGCTCTTCAGACACATCCCTTTCTTGGAAAATGCATCAAATACCGTAAGACAAACTGAACTATATATTTTTTAACAAACTAACTATCTAAAATTACTCTAGAGTAAGTGGGAAATGATGAAAAAGAAGTGTGTTGTCTGGCAGAACAAATTTCTCCATTAAAAGTGGTATTTTTTTTATTGTGTTATTCTCTCACTAACATTTTATGTTTGACTTTTCTTGTAAGAACAGTATAGCAAATCTGATTCAATAAAAATGATTAAATAAAAGTGAAAATAAGTGTCCAGCTAGACACATATTTTCACTTGTGTCAAGCTGACAGGAATATATATATATAATATATATATATATATATATATATAATATATATATATATATATATATATATATATATATATATATATATATATATATATATATATATAATATATATATATATATATATATATAAATATAATATATATAATATATATATATATATATATATATATATATATAATATATATATATATATATATATATATATATATATATATATATATATATATATATATATATATATAATATATATATTTTTTTTTTTTTTTTTTTTTTGTCTGTGGTCATCGGGGCCCTCGGGGCAGTAACCCCCAAACTGGAGCAGTGGCTACAACACATCCCAGGAACAACATCAGACGTCTCAGTCCAGAAATGTGCAGTCCTTGGCACAGCCAAGATACTGCAGGACCCTCAAGCTCCCAGGCCTCTAGTAGAGGACCCGAGCTCAGAGGATAAGAACCACCCGCGGTGGGTGAGAAGGGAATTTTTTGTCACAGCATTAAAAGTAGCATTTTCAGATTCAGAAAATTGTGCAACTGAGGCAGGTCTAACATGAAATGTTCAAATATATGTAAATTTTTGCATACGAAAGACAGACATACAAGGGAAATCTGCAAATAAGCACTGTGGAGCAGTGCTGATTTTACAGTCTAACAGCTGCTGTGAGGAACCTCTTATGAAGCTTCTTTATGCATTTAAAATGCAGCAGTCTGTCACTGAAGAAGCTCAGTTTTCATTTAGCGAATAGAAATAATATTGGTTTTTCTAACCGTTTGATTTTCTTTTCATTTGGTCTATGTAGATATCTGATTTCAACTACATTTTAGCAATGTTATTACCCTGGATATATATATATATATATCTTTTTCATCTTAGGCTGCACCTGAGTGCTTCTTGCATGTGATGTTGTAATATAGATACTTGGTACATTTTTGGGCAACCTCAGCTTGCACTATGTCTGAACAGAAATTTTAGCTGATTTTGTTAATTTGTAAATCTGACTATATTAATTGAGAATAGATAAGTTTATGTGTTCTCTAAGTCTGCTAGTAGTATTCCACCGATTTTAAATTTCACACAGTAACACAGTGCATTGTGACTCAGTGTAGAAGTTCTGTGTGCTCTCTTAGCAGTAGAACAGTAAATTTTAAATGGTTTTTAATATTTAACTGAATGACATGAGTAGAGTAGTATGACTTGATTTCATTTTACAGATCTTGTTTGTTCATTGTGCATGCAGTTTTGTGGCGACTGTGATGTGTGTTGAGTTGTGTGTTTCTTGTGCCATTGCCAAAGATAAATTTCCATTTTATGTAAGTTTAATGGACAATAAAGGAGTCTAAAGTCTAGAAACTGTCATGCTGTCCCACACAACCAAGTGGAAGGAAACCAATGTTTTTGGAAAGATACTTATGTTAGGAAGTGACTAAGTCAGTCACTTCCTGGCGATTGCAGCTCACACCTCTGGCAGTTAAAAGAGAAGCCATATGAATAAACACCATAGTTTACTTCCCTGCTTTAGAGCTTATCAGCAGTACAATAACTTACTGGCATCAATTCATAAGGTCAGTTAGGTCAGAGAGAAAATTAACAACTTAAAAGTAAAAAGCTTTGCTAATTTGTTCTGAATGTTATGTTAACATTCATTAACCTAGATGGTCATACATTGTAATTAATTTTTTACAGTCCCATTAGAAATGCTTGTATTAATAGTCTACAAAGACAGCTTACGATTTATGGAAGGAAGTTTTGATATAGAAACTCACTTCAGATGTGGAAACTATTTGAAAAGGCTGCACACAATTAAAAAATAGCACATAAGTGTATCTGCCTAAACATCGTAAATTTATGTTATCAGTTATTTCCATCGCACAATGTAACAAACAACAGATGTACTGTGTTCCTGGCTTAATTGTAAAGAAAGCATTCTGTGTTTGGTCAGGAATAAACAGCATGGGAACGCACATTATTATGAATGAGTTGGCTACAATTCACAAGTATAAATTTGTGAATTGACCATTCTTGAGACTATTCTTTTGTCTCATCTGTTGGAGAGCTCACTACTACTTAATATGTCCATCACTGAATTGTGAGTTTGTCCATGGTCTCACACAACTCGATGTTTGTGTTTCATCAAATAGTTAGATGGAAGTACATTCAGTGGTTGATAAACTATAAAATATTTTTCTAAGTGCCTTTTAATGTTGTTAATGCTTAGCACTTAACCCCAATATAAATACATATGTTTAATATAAAACAATTCAGTAATGTGGAGAATCTGTCATGGCAAATCTGTTGTTTTGATTTCTTTTTTATTGACCTATCAATCTTAGGCCAGTGCATAATACCACAAATTCTGATTAAAAAAAAAAAAGTACCACAAGAAAATAGGCTTCCAATGGTTTTGAGAAGGATAGAATGTAAGATTTTTTTTTTAATTAATCTAATTTTAACCATATTATTGAAGTGAAGTTTGCCAAATAGGTTAATTCATTCTTCACATTCATGTTGTCTAATCAAAAGTTATTTTCTCCTGACCTACATTATGTGTTATTTTATAATAAGTTTGATTTTGCTCTTGACAGTTGATTGTTTTCACAGCAACAAGTCAGTTCATCCCATTTTTCTGTTTCCATCTGCATCTGTGGTATTATGATCAGTTTTGTGTTTTCTTTATAAGTATGACATTTTAACATGTATTTAATTATATGCAGCATTTCATGAGCAATTTTGTCCTGTTTTGTACATGTTTTAAATAATTAATGCACATTTTAGCTCTGTTTAATTCAATAATTTTTGATTTTACAGATGTTAACTGCTGGTAATTGTTAATTGCTGTGTTCAGGTTTATTAGTTAAATTTTGTTCAATTTATAGGGACAGAAGCTGCTGAACTTGATTTTTTTCTCGTTATGTTTTAATATTTGATGCAATGTAACATTTCAGTTGCCTTTGAATATGAAATATATATGTGTATTATTTTTCCTTTTTTAAAAAAAAAATATTTACTCGTTGCTATTTATATTGAAGATACATAATTATTTATATAAATTTATATCAAATCACACTGTAAAGTCACAGCAAGCTCAACCCTTGTTGCCGTCTGTAACTGTGAGTCAGAAGATGCTAGAACCACAAACTTTTATTTTTTCTCTTATTAACATAAATACAGTAACATCAGCTACAGTATTTATTCTATTGTATTTATTTATTATATTTCAAGCGTTTTGATTTTTTTCTTGACCAGGGATTATATCGAGTATCATTGATCAGAAAATTGAAATATTAGATAGGACAAATAAAAATAAGGATATTAAATAAAGAAAAAGATCCATATATTCGGAACTTCAGGGCACGCTTACATTAATAACCCACCTCAGGAACCACAGTGAGTGAAACTAAATATGTTTTTCATCACAGTAAAAATAAAAATTAAAAATCTTACACCCAATGTTGCTTTTGTCATCGATTTAAATGCGTTTAGCTTTGTCATTGGTTTACCCTTTGATTCCAACCAATCAGCACAATATGCGATGATTCGCGTCGTCCTGACGTCATATCCGATTTAAGCGCAGGCGCGCGGAATGTTGTGCTTGTCGAAAATAAACCGTCAATACTTTTTACTTTGAAAAAACAATAATAATTATAAAAAAGTTTAGGACTTTTTGATGGGAAAGAAAGAATACGTGTGACGTCAGGAGAAACACAGGTAAAGAGACTTGAACTTAATCTACGTCCGGACTGAGAGATTCAGTCCCGTTTTCGGTAAAAGTTCACGAGTAACCGGTTTACCTACAACAAGCTAACGTTGATTGTAACATGGAGCTGCGCTCGCATTGCAGGGCTACGGTTTTCTCGGGCTCTTTCTCGCTATTCAAAGCTTTAAATAACTTGACGCCAACAACAGCTTGTCCCTCACAAGAGGACATACTGGTGAATATGAATGTGAATCCTTTTTTAAGGAGAGGTCCCTAAAAATCCCCGTCCTTCTTTCTGCCCAGCGTTGACCAACACCGGGGGATTTTCTTTCATCATGTCCCAGACCAACACATCTTTGCTGGATGAGGTGGCGCAGTGGAGTCAGGAAACCTGTCGCCAGGAGCTCAAGTCTGTCCTGCCTAAGCTGACAATATCCTCATGACTCACAGTCTAATCCAAATAGGAATGTTGTGTAATGTAGCCTACACATTTTTTGGTGTCGGGAT